ATGTTGACGCTTAGTAGTGTATAGAATAAAGGAATTTTCGAGCCACAAAATACTAATTCGATCAGTAGTCTATCTATTATCACTGACCTTGAAGCGCCAATCACTCGGGACAGTATTGTACCACGCTGACATTAATACCTTAGCTTTGAAAATAATGGTTAGAGATAGAACGCCGTTCAGATGGATATATTCAATTGTAGTAACCTACTCTCGGTTGCCAGGTTGTAAGAGTTTGCGCTTCCCCTGCCACTCTTGGCTGGTAATCACTTTAGAAGTACTAGTGATCCCTATTGTAAAGCCAGTTTTATCAAAATTGTAGATATCGTCATCGAGAATACTATATTTAGCAATAATATTGTAATATTGTTCAAACCACGCACGAATAAGCTTTGGATCTTCATACAAAGCACGTTGTGCAGCGTAACGACGTAAAAAGCGTGCTTTTAGCTTGTTGTGACGTTCAACAAAGGTATATATCCAGTTTTTACCGACCGTAGTAGGTTCACGATTATTGAACGCTGAGTAAGTAGTATATTGGCCATTTCTTTTGCAAGAGCAAAAGTAGGGGCCTTACCACGTATATCTAGGTCCAATATCCACTTCTCTAGCGAATCCTCTTCGAATTGCATCCAATTTCATTAAATTTGGGCGAATATCTGCTCGGTAACTTCTTCCCTTGAAGCGCTTTTGCAATGTTGAGCGAGGTACCTCAAAAACACACGCAGCTTTGTTGAGAGAATAGATTTTATTGTTGCTTAGTGCTTGTACAGCAAGTCCGATTCTGCCTTCTTGCTTAACGCGTTTTTGAGTTTGTCCGGTACGGATTGGTGGCATGGTGGTGGTTTGAAGAAGAGAGGTGCTACACGCGATGTGTTTTTTGAGGAGGTGGCCCGCTCGCCCGGGCGGCCCGCTCGCTCGTGAAACACGTTATCAGAGTGGCATATCATGTGCCGCTCAACGGCCTTTCGACGCCTGAATTGGCTATCACATCCCGGGTATGTACATTTAAACTGCCGCTGGGGTATTTTGTGTGGCAATTTCTGGAAGCTCCAGTCCGGAGGAACTTGGGAAGAAGGAAGAGGCGCGGTGTTCGTAGGTTCCAGAGAAACTCGGCTCGCTGCAAGCACTTCATCGCTGCCAAGCCACACAGGGCAGGAATTGGAGGTAGGGGCCACCTTTGCCTCAAAGGCATGAGGCTTGGAGCATGGCTCTAATAGGCTGAAAGGATACGAATTTGGCATATTTTCCAGCCAGTAAATGACAGGGATCGGCTCGCAATGGCTGAAGCCAGGATCGGAAAAGTGTACTGGTCGTTGAAAGCCGCAACTGAAGAGACTATTCCGATGAATCTGCTGCACGGTTTCTTCTGGATAAAGCATCCCAAGCGGCTGTTGTGGAAGGGCCATGAAGATAGGACGTGCGGTGAAGCAATTTCCGGGAACCAAAGGCCAGTGGTCTTTTGGCTCGCTCATCATTGATGAATGACTCAAACGAGGTTGGCTCTGCATATCCACCTCCGAATATGGATGTCTCACAGAATGCGAATTCATTTGTAAAGGATCGTTCGGATATTGCATGCAAGCGGCATCGCACTGTGACTGTTGGCTGCTTTGTACAGAGTGAAAGAAAATGAAATACCACAATGGCGATCGCATAATCCAAACGCCAATCCGCGACCGGGGAGTTTGGGCGGCAAGATTCCAAGCGCGCGAGACACCACTAGTACTCTGAAACAGATAGCGCGCAGATATTCAAAAGATGGCGATAAAAAATTTTGGGGGAAGTGTGGGAAGTTTCCTCATTTTTTCGCGGAAGGCCTTTGACAGCGCTCAGTTGGTATAATTTACAACTATAGTAAAAAATTTAACCGAACGGTATTTCATCACTGTTTCAACGGCTGAGGTGACGGTGATGATTCGACGATGACACGCATCAAAGCTCATTCAGTCTGCATCACTTTCAAGTTCATCTCTTGCATAAATTTCTTCATCTGTTGTCAGTAATGATCAAGTTGTCGTTGCTCCACTTCTTACAAACTGAGCTGTTTGTTGACCACATATCTCTTGCCAATACACGATTAATTTTACCAACATTATCAAGCGTTGAGCATCTTGGAGAAAACCTGATGTGCTAGCTTGGTCGTCTTCGAAGCTATAAATTGAATGAAATAGATCTTAAGCTAATAATACTACACTTATCCAGAGTCTCGAAAATATCACTTTGAGAAGAAAATGGATCCTTCGACGGTGTGCCACGACACACAAGGGGACGGGAAGACCGATTTCGATCCACCATCAGCCTCAAATATGCGACTGAGCCCGGGATTGACAGCTGAAGAAGTTCCTACACAGGTAAGAATCATTATAACCCCCAATGTTGTGCACGATGCTAATCAATGCAGCCGGTCTCCCAGCCTCCAGCTGATGAGGAACAAAATTCAGCAGCAGAACCCTTTCAACCGATACTACAGCTTCTTGCAGAGCTTGAACGAGACGATCCAAAACTCGCCTTCCAGGCAGCCCGGATTCTTGGACTCTACCGACGACTTTGGGACTCATGCATGTCGAAACATATTGGCAGTGAGAGGCTCGTACAGACGAATCGGGAGTTGAAGAGGGAGAATGCACGATTGGAGAATGAAAAGGGGATGCTTCTGGCTCATCATGATGAGCAGCTGTCCCAGTTTGATCATCTCAACCAAGCATTGGAGGCTTCTCGCGGGCGATTGATCAGCATTCTCAATGATTGGGAGCAGTGCTCGGAAGGCCGAGTGGCAGGGCTGATGAATTGCGATCGAGGTCAGTGATAGAATTGTTGTTAATTTATCTTCCACTGTACGCATGAGGAAGACTCGAGTAGTATTGTGTTATTTCTCCAATTTTATGTTCTGCCCTTAGATGCTCAACTGCATCCACTCGGCCTCACAGGTCACAGTATTATATAAAAGAAGAGATCGCATCTGGAGAGGTTCAAAGAGATGGATTGGAGATCCTCTCAATAAAAGAGGCAAGGATCGCCTTAGGCCTTTCTTTGAGCTGTTAGAAGAAAATGGAGCTGCTCATGTTTGCCGATGGAAAACGTAGCTATGTGAAGGAAAAGCATACATTGTTATGAAATTTCATCAGCACTGGATATAGATGGCTAAAGATTTAGTTCTTCGAAGCTATTAAGAAATATATCACAAAATTGATGGGTTCGTTGATGGGGTCGTGAAACCTCGCTTTGCTTCAGATACATGGCAAATTCCATGTTCTTGGAAGTTCCACATGTGTCGTGCCATCGAAAGTGAAAATATTTCTAACCCGACAAAAGACGTATGGCTCCATGTATGGATCAAGGTCTATTGATGGGATAGTAAGGGAGGTCGATGTTTTGCAAGGCCGACATGACATGCCCGTGGAATGCATTCACTGTCCGTTTTCGACCCTCTAACTCCACTGCCTGTCGGTTGCAGCACTGGAGAAGACTATCAGTCTCTTCTTCCAGCGATTCGTTTGACTCGCATATCTGGCGCCGCTCATCTTCAAGTCGGATACTCTCCGCAGATTTCACAACATAACTTTCCCATAGACATAGATACAGATCCAAGAGTCTAAGGGCCGGTAGGGCGAGGTCGACATTGCGGCGCAGGATTTGCTTGAGTTGCGTCGTAGGGAGGCTGCTCGCTGCGGTAGAGTATGAAGCGGGTGAAATATCCTCTGCGTTCGGGTCGTTGCAAGTGTCCTCGGAGAGTCTTCGCTGTCTCTTGGCCGGTCGGTCGGCTGGTGAGGAGCATGTAGTGAGTGGATTCATTGGGGAAGAATGGGAGAAGATTGATTGTGCACAACAGAGCGGGTTTCCATAGATTTTAAATACAGCATATTACTGTGGGAGATAAAATCCCTGCCATCAAATATCCTGGGCCATTCTTCACCCGTGTTGTGTTGACAGACAGTCCACGCACGTTCTAACTTTTGATGCACGACGTTGAAAAACCCGTGGCAAGAGCAACGCAGTTTCTGCAGCTTCTCAAAGCAATCTGGTTACCACCACGTATTGTGAGATCAATGATTGTCTTCCTTTCATGCTCGCTATACCCTGCAATGCACGTTGCGCATCGTGTATCAATGCTGTTCGGCACTTTTCTGTAGCCCACATTCAGTACCTCAAGCAGCACTACCTCAGCACCCGTCCACGCAGACTACCCGCGTCCACTATGCCAGGGACCAATGTGCCTTAATCCATTCACAGCGGGCTCTGCGATCATCCATCTCATACTGAATGGGCCTTCGGATACCCTCGTGCGTCGCGATTGCACGTGCGACTCGCAAGTTGTACGTATCCACCCTTGGATCTGCGAGCAGAGCGTCGACGACAAGGACATGTGCGCCTTTGACTGCCAACACCAATGGAGACTTCAGCCATCGGTTCTCCAGGCTGGGGTCAATCCTTTCGTGTCTTAACAGAGACCGGACTATTTCCAGGTCACCCGCACGGGCGGCAATCCCCAGACCCGTGTCATGCGTCGTCAAGGTACCTTGATTGATTCTGAGTCGCTGTCCTTGCTGCACTAACAGTCTCACCGCCTCCAAGTGGCCTCCTACCGCCGCTTGGCATAGAGGGAGGAGTTTTATTGGGGTTGCCTCAAGCTAGGCCTCGCCAGACCCGCCCCAAAACCCGAACCCGCCCACGAAAACCCGCCCCACGGGTCGGGGCGGGTCTTAGTCAGCAGACCCGTGGGCGGGTTTGTTTTTTGAAAACCCAACCCGCGACCCATACGGGTACCCAAATTACCCATGACTCCAAAAGGGGAAGGATTTGTCAGCTAGCACAAAATTATGCTAAATTATTCGTTTAGATCAACGTATTGCCTCGGTATGAGTAGAATAGATTCAACCTGCGCTTCTCTAAAAGTCCCAACCATAACATAATCACAACCTCGCTTTACATAAAGGTCTATATCTTGGGATGAGTGGTTATATTAAGAGATTACATCAAACTATAGGACTAGAGGAGACTAACTAATACAGCTTATAGCCTTCAAGTCGGCTTGAAGGCACTGTCATCCTCCCTGATGATCTTTTTTGATATCTCTCTCCCAGATGCGTAACTGGAGGTGGCAACAAATCTTCATCATCGCTCTCTGGATCTGGACGAATAGCCGTCATCGTCACATCTTGCGGTCGACTGTGAGATGGAAGCTTCTGTGAGGCGGTGCTTTCAAATCCCAGAACACTCTGAACAGTGGGGCTCATATCGGTATCTTCGACTAGATCACTCTCGTCTATATCACTGATAGCTGTATTCTCATCTTCGGTTTCCTTGTTTGCCTTATTTTCTTCGAGATTTTCCTGGTCCTCCCCTTCCGCCATCCTATGATCCAACAGACTCGATTGCTGGCTCTCCAGGGTGAATTTCTCAGAGCACATGTACATCATCAAGTCTTGTATCGTAGTCTCATTCAGAGATCCCCGGCAATAATGGCAAATATCCCGGGCACTATTGAACAGCCTTTCAACTCCTGCGCCAGTGGCTGGAACTGAGAGCAAATCGCGAGCTAGCCGCGAAAGCACGGGGAATTTACTCTCATTCTCTCTCTAGTATACACGCGGTGGTATTGAGGTAGTCGCTGGGAACGTTAACGGTCTTTCAGATCGATTGAGCCAGATATACTTACACTCGTGGAGATAACAATCAACCTCGTCATACCTGACTCCTTCGCTTGTTTCTACTGTGTGTGTTGGTTCAAGAAGCCGTTCTAACTCCGAGGCTTGTAACGAAGGGCGTTGTACAGCACGGAATAGTATCTCTGGGTTTCTTTGTTGATACTGTGTAAAAGATGATCGCAGATATTCACAATATCTTTTTGAAGTCTCGCCAATGCACTGTGAATACTCTGTATCATCAAAAGCACAAAGCTTATACTGAGGAGCAAGCAAAGCCGCTGTACCGTAGAGAAATCCATGGTCACGATAGGTCTTCTCGTAATAATCTTTTAGCTTTTGCTTTGCCATGAGTATGGCACCGTACATATCTTTTTTCCAGGGTGTGGTTTTCTTTCTCAGCTTCCGGTTTGAGCGTTCAATATGTTCCAGAAGCTTCCTGTACACAAGAAAGACACTATGGATAGTCATATCTTTGGTCTTCATCAGAGCCATAGTAAATTTGAAGAACGGCCTTGTTATATTGACCAGGTAGTCGATTTGCCGCCACTCGGTATCGGTGACTTTGAATTAGCTATATTCATGGTCTCGGCAGTATTTATCAATGGTGTTCCTGAGCCGGCACGCTCTTCGGAGCATCAAAAAAGTAGAGTTCCAGCGGGTCTGTACGTCATGGAGGGGGAAAAGCCGAGTTCCACCCGATTGAAGACATAGAAATGTATCTCGTCGTTATGGGCTTGCATTCACAAAGACGGCAAAAGACCGGATCTATTATAAGGAGAAGAAAATCTTTAACAAAAATTCCTGTGGTCATTTTCCGGGTCAAACATACCTTTGTGAGAGTATGCGCCACATCGCCATGCTCTAGGGAATCTCTTAGGTAGACAGCTTGGGTGTCAGACCAAAACCTTCTCACTTCTTTATTCTTTGGAGCGGCTCTAATATGGCCTAGTAGTTGCTTCAGGCAAAGCTGAATCACATGGGCCATACATGGAACGCGTACAATGGATTCCCTCGTACTAATGGCACCGCTCGAAAGAAGTGACTCCTGTAAGGCCCGGATAAGAGTCTCGTTGTTTATTGCATTGTCTGTAGTCATACTGAAGATCCGATCCAGAAGTCGTCTGTCCTTAAGCACCTAAAGAAGCACTTCGTTCAGATTGACCCTACTGTGAGCTCCGTGTAGAGGCTCAAACCCAAGAAGTATTTCACGATAGTTCTAATCTTTGTTGATGAAGTATACTGTAATTACTATAAATGCTTGCTGAAAAGGGCTAGTCCAGCAATCCAGTACAAGAGAAACTTTTGCATCTTCGGGCAAGTCTCGTAATTAAGTCTCTTATTGGGCTGCAACAGAGTCATGTAAGCGACGTCGCAGAGTCTTTGCCGAAGGAATTTCTAATTCTCCTGGGCCAGAGTGAACCAAATTGAGCAGGGCTTGGAACTCGGGATTTTCAATAGTCTGGAAAGATAATCGTAAAATAGCTATTGTCTTCAGTAACCTTTCTTCAAGCTGTAATGTAGTGAATTTCTTGCAATTGGACGAAGCCCCTAGGAAAGCTTTCTGAATGGAGTTTGTTGCGAGTGTCTGACAGTAGGTTCTTTTCTGGCCCTGTCGATAAGACTTGGATTTCTGGTGTTTTCCCATTGCGCTTGTCCCGTGCTTCTTATATTGCGGGTGGTCTAGCAAAGTCAAATAAGTCCTGCAAATCACCTTGGGTCGATCAGTCAAGATGTCGGCAACTTGGTCGAAGCGTCTCCAAACTTCAGCATAATGCGACTCTATCGACTACTTGATTCTTGACCGGCCCTCACTATTCAGCACTTGTCCGTATTCCGTTTTGGCCCACCAGATCAGAAATTCCATCGAGTTCTCTGATTCGTACAAGATCCAGTTCTTTTTGCGGTTCGGTCCTACGCGCTTTAGAATCGGTGGGGGTGGTTGGCTGGATGCATCAATGCTTCGCCGGAGCTCCCTATCAGGCTACGTGGTCTCTTAGCATGTTCGCTCGAGTTGGGGGGGAGGGTGAAAGGAATTCTATGGTGCAGAATCTCAATTTTCATACCGAGGATTGGAAATCGGAGTCCAGAAAGGAATCGGATGACGGTTCAATAGAGGCTAAGGGACTCAAAGATCGATCAGTTAATAGCGATGACATTTTTCTGTCTTCAATGTCATCGAGGTTCAGCCTTCAAATCTAACACGGTGTTGTCTAGTGAGAGATAATATAGCCTTGTAGATTGCATCTTTTTTTTTCCAGCGCGTTTTCTGGGTCGCGTCAACCCACGGGTACCCAAAACCCGCGCGACTGTGAACAACCCCAGGAACGCGTTTATTGGTGTCTAAGCAGCTTTTATATCTAGATCGAGTAATGGTCTTAACATAAAAGACATTTGCCTGACTAGGCTAAGTTTACATCTGGGGTATCCCGTTGTAGCATTTGATGATATAGGGTGGGAGACATTCGGACCGAAACATGGTGCAGTTACTGTCCGTTATCAATATATATATTTCGGAGCCGATGTTATATCTTATCTGATTGTATTTCCAATATTAAATCGGTACCAAAATAGATTACCAAAAATACACACACTGACTAATCATATATTGTGCATCAATTATGTATTTTGATGGGTAATTTGGGTACCCGCGAACATTTTCCAAAAACCCACGGGCGGGTTTGTGAAATGCAAAACCCGCGATGGGTTACCCGTGGGCGGGTTGGAAAAATGAAAACCCGCCCCGAACCCGCGTTTGGCGAGGCCTACCTCAAGCTGCCACGCTGCCTCACGTGACATCTACACCGACATTACGGAGGGCTCCTTCCTACAACTGCCTCGCAAGAATCAGTTGCTTGCCTCTGGTGGTAGCTCGTCACCTCTCACGCAGTCAAGGCTCGATTTTGTCCCTCCCACCCCCCTCTGTATATAGAAACTAGCATTACAATATACAGACACATTGCCTCCCTACAAGGGAGCGCGGACGGGCCTTCTCTGACGCTACAGTCTAATGCGTTTACGCATAAGACCGCGCGACAGGTGACCCGTTACGGCCAAACTATACACGTTCCTGTTCCCATCTTGACTGCGAGAGGTCACCAATAAAGGAGGATCCATTAAAATTCCACCCGTATTGATTTCGACGCCCCTCTGACTCATAAGGATCCTCATTGCGCTCACTCGGCCGGCAGCGGCGGCGGCAGAAAAAGGGGTCTGTCTTGCAGCGCAGACGTTCGGATCGATTCCTGCAGCCGCCAGCAGCTGCTTCAAAATCGTGGTATCCGACCGAGTCGCGGCATGGTGTAGTGGTGCCGAGGTTGTGTTTAGCCGACCGGAGCCGCCGATCAAGTTGGCATCAATGTTCTTTACAGCGAGTAGCCTTGCCGTTATCTCGTCATATGACAGTAACGTCGACCACCAAAGTGAAGTATTTCCATCATTATCCATACAGTTCACGTCAGAATGAGGATGCTGGAGAAGGAGGTCCACCACTTCCAAGCGTCGACTGCGGACAGCAAGATGGAGTGCTGTCGCACCATAACTATCGATCGTCGCCACACCAGGACGTTTTTGTCTCAAGAGCACATTCACAGCATCGACCGATCCATGAAGAATCGCCTGATGCAACGCTGGCTCATCGAAATTATCTTGCTTTAGGTGAAAATAGTCTTGCCCCTTGAGAAAAACGGCCGTCATAGACGGTCGATTACATCGGGCGGCCCATGCCCAGGGTGAACTGCCAGTTTCGTCGGGTGAGTAGGGGTCACTGCCTTTAGACAGCAACAGCTCCGCCAATCCAATTTTGCCCCACCAGACGGCGAGGTGAAGTGCGGTTTGGCCTCTCTGATGCCGAAGATTGACTGCACAGTCTGTTAGTTCCAGTATGGGCCGCAGCGTCGAGCATGAGCTATATGTGACCGCATACCACAGGGCGCTTTCCTGCTCTCGGTTTTGGACATTGATAGCTAGACTGCTACTTTTCAGTAGCAGCTTGAGCACGGCGGATGAAGAGTATTTGAGGGGGCCCTCATGACCGGGGTCCTCCCACGAAAGAAGGCATTGACGTTTGCTCTGTGACGAAGCAGCAGGAGCGTAAGATCAACATTGTCGTCTTTGGCGGCCAAGCCAAGAAGATTGCTGTTCTGATTTTCGATATTGAATTGGAGAATTGCCGTTCGTAGAATGTGGTACAGGTCTCTGCAGGATCTGGCAAGAGCGAATTTTGCGCTACCATGTAGGTATGCGGCAATCATCAATACTATTTCTGGAGGCAAGTCTCCAATTAGAGACTATGAATCTGTTTAGTTTCCTATGGGCAATATGTCGTAAGAATACTTAACAAACCATGATGTAGAAGAAGAGTGAGACGGTGTGAAAATGGGAGAAACCTGGCAGAAGGCCAAGAGGCACGAGGGCAGCTTTATGAAGGGCTCCAATCCTTGGCCCAGTCCATCCGAATTTAGCTTCCAGCTATAGGTCGCTTCATGCTCCTGGGATCTTTTCGGTGGGTCCAGGGTACGGCAGACGATAGAGAGGTTCGGGCCAAAATTCAAATAATGCCGGCAGAAAAGGTCACTAGCCCTAATATAGAAGGTTCATACCCTAGGCTTGTATATTTCTGCCAAAATATGTTAAGCAAGTATTTCTGGAGAAGGGCAAAAAGTGTGCCTCTATTCAGAGATCATGACAGAGTTAGACCAAGCCCTCTAGAATTCTAGATGCATAAAACTATATCTTTAAAATCCTGCCTTCTCATTTACTATACTATAAGTTAACTAACTCTGATTGTTTGTAGGTGCTCAAAATCGCCCAAATATACAGTTTCTGACTAGTTTTAACCTGCCCTCATACCCCTAGAGACCCTACTACGCGTACGTGGTGGTGATATAGCTGGTGATGCTTCTACCCGAGGGCCTCTGGTGCCACCGCGTCTTGCACCACCACGTCGCTGCGTACTTGAAGGATCTCTTAGCTGCGGTGTATCCTGATGTGGCGTATCCTGCCGCTGAGGAGTAGCCCTTAAAGTAGCCTCTCTCCTAGCGTCAGCAGCCGGCTGTTCTGGCGGTGGGAGGGTCGTCCAATTGCTAATGTCGCTGGCCAAGCTTGATTCGCGGCTTATTATAGGCTCAGGTTTGATATGAAGCTGTTCATCCTCACGTATAATAACAACATAAATCTGACGAGCTCCACCAGCCAAATCAAAACGCTCACAGAGATTTGTAGTACATCGCATGTAATCTTCAGTAGCGGATAGGATATATGGCTCCCTCTTGCCCTTTTGACCTTTTAGGCCTGTGGCTAACTGATATCGATCGGTAGGCATTGCTGAATATACCCCGAGATCAGGACTAAGCGCAGGCAGAAGATGTTTTGTAATAAAGTCGTTAAAGCCGTAAATTGTCTGTGGAGGAACCCACTGGGAAACATCACCTATATTGAAGTGTCTATTAGCAAATTGGAACATACCTTGATTAAATTAAATAACATCAATATCTAAACTCACTAAGCTCCTCAAACGTCCATGATTTTCTCTCTGGTGATGGTCTTCGCCAGAGACAGAAGTGGATAAGAGTTGGGGCCTGCTGTGGTGGCTCAGGCCTAGTAATGTGTCCTGGTCTAGTCCTCTTTATCTCTCGCTTTCGAACTCTACCTGCCACTCGTTGGTGTATTATACTATAGGGGTTAGGAAGCAGGTTATGGCTCGGTACAAGCTGAGAGGGTCTTGTCGGTGCTGCTCCTTGGCTAGTAGTATAGGTGGAGGACGAGGATGGTGAATCGTCATATGTCCCTGTCAAATCGACTAGATCAGGCGTATCGCTGGAATAATAGGCCATTTGGTTGGTAGTGCTTTGTGGAAGATGCTCAATAGGATATGCTAGGGTATTAGGAGATTCTAGGACGTCAGGAGAAATTAGAATATCTTCTACAACCCCTAGAATAATAAAGTTCTGACAGAACTAGTGCTTGATATTTATTAATCTCCACTTTTACCTCCAACATAAGCCAAGCCTGCGAGCCGCTCCCTTAATTTTATGCCCAATCAGAAGACATAGTGGGCTTCTCGCACAGTGATAGGATCGGAATAGCACCTATGTGGGTATGATAGACGGCTCGCTCTCGTAGCCGAAGGTAGATCTCCACATATGGGCGGGTGCCGTCTCGTGCCGGTGGCCTTTCAGGGTCAAACTGCATTTGTAGCAGCTGAGTATGGCACCATTCCATAGTATGCCTGGGGAGATATTCGTTAGCATCCCAGCCATCCACGTCATATCGTATAGCACTAAGCATAGTAGGGTCAAGCGTATGCTGGTAATCCTTGATATCCTGTCCATCAGTATCCTGCCCTGGATAGTAGTAGTTCATCCATGGCTTGCCTGGAACACTATAGGGACGTCCTTTCTGCTTCCTTATACGATGGGAGTTCCATGTCAGTACAAATTCCGCGCATGTATCCTTAATAGAAGGCATATAGACAGCAAGAAGAGCAATCTGGTCAGGGATAGTCGCCTGAAAATGGCCCTGGTCCTGTAGCCAAATAAAGAGCTCACGCCACACGAAATTCATAGAGCTTGTAAGCTGCCCCCACCAGGACTCGATGCGTTGATTTTGGACACTACGGCCATACCAAAAGCAGTCAGAAAACTGAAGCCTTGGATCGATGTCAATGGCTTTCCGTAATGCATAGTGAGCATCGGCGATCAGCATCGTCTCAGTGCCTAGGTCGGAGCGGATAGTGCGCGGTTGGAAGCCAGTAGCCGATAATGTATCTATATATTGACGGAGAACGCTGAAACTAGTTCGCGTGCTTATACCTAGGGCAGACAGTCAGATACTCAAAGACCTTAGAATGACCCTATAGCGGTGCGCATACCAACATAGAACCAGGTAACATAACGCGAATATCCATCAATCGCAGCATATATCTCGATCCCATAAGGCTCTAGCTTCATATATCCATCAATGTGCCATACAAAGTTTGGCCCAGGGCATTGATAGGCACCACGTGACCTCTGGAGATTGGTCGAACGACGCTCAAGAGCATCAGGGCGCAAAGAACACCAAATATCGAAGATTCGGTCTCTCGCATAGATATGCCCATGACGGCGTAAGTGGGCATAAAGATGACCCCGTCCGTACCCTTCAATAAGCCCAAAGCCTTGTTCCTCCTCCAGTACCTCTAGTATCTCGTCCTTCTGCTGACGCTGCTCGTCCTTATCATCAATGCGAAGGCGTATACCAAGCCGCCTACGGATTTGCTTAAGTGAGTCATTGGAGATAGGAGTGCCATCACGGGCGAGAACTTCGAGTATCTCTTTCGGAGACAGATTACCCTCACAGATGAGTGTCTCGACGCGTATTTGTAAGGGTCTGTTATTGGTGATTCCTGTGGGTGCTCGTCGCTGGATACCCCAGGCCTGCGTACGGCGCTTGAATGTTCTGGGAGAGATTTGGAGACCATGATTTTGGTGCAACATGTCTAGTATGACATTAATAGGCGTATTTTGGGTCAGGAGAACAATGACTTGGTCCTTATAGGGCTCCATGTTGACCTGGGGTCGTCCAGCAGGCATGGTAGAAGGCCAGATTTGTCAAAAACGCGTATCTTAGAGATTTGAGCTCTCAAAACTGGCGAAGATTCGTAAAGATTAGTATGGTGAACCAAAATCTGGAAGAATGTTGGAAAATCTGGCATTTTGGAGGTTTCGGTCTAACTGACCAACACCACTCTATCTATAACGTACCCCCACTGCGCTATTGATAGAGCATACGGAGATCTGGTTGGTGGTGTACTTAGCGGTCAAGCCAGGCGGAACTCATCGCGGTGAGGCTAATGATTGGGTCAGGAATTTTGGCCCCTGCCTCACTATCGGCTGCCGTAGTCCAGGGGTTTACTTTATGATGGCAAAATCAGCATTGAGGACTCAATGCGCTTTGTTACTCCTGGGAACGCGGAAGGTGTTCCCGGGGTCACTACAATTCTCTCAGCATGTCAGAATTGATGTGACTCCAGATCACAGGCTATTTCTGTCCAGAAAAGAGGGGCTGGAAGTTTCAAGGCATGCTGAGTGCCGCGAAGTTCCAGATAATACTGTGCATTTTCAGGCAGCATCGGATTCAGTATGCCAAAAGGGCTCACTACTTACCACTTCAGTAGCAATTCAGCTTGCCACTAAAGCCTTGAAGAATGTTAAAGAAAACGCCGTCTGAAGAAGTTCATGGTCACTGTTGTTAGTGTATTTAAAGTAGACTCAGTGTCGCTTCGATTGCATTTCACTTCTATCAAGTTTCATTTAAATCAGATATTCTCAAGCCACGACCTATCTCCACCGCTCTTTGCTTCGCCATTTTGATAGAGACAAAAGAATACATCTGCGATCAATCCGATTTGTTTGATTTATATCCGAAGCCATGACAGAGCCTCATGGAATGGCAGCCTCATGCTCTAGGAAATTACGGCGGCCCTGCATCCCCTGTCGCATTTCCAAAAAAGGATGCAGTAGAGAGATGCCCGCCTGCCAGTCTTGCTGTGACCGTGGACAACCAGATTTATGTTTGTATGAAGAACGGGTCCCTTTAGCCTTGGGGTACAAGACAATGCCGCCGATCCAGCCAGAAAACTTCAAGCAGCAAAAGGCGGTTTTTGAGGCCGAGCAGATGCAGTATACTGAGCGGAATGATAAGACGATCGATGTACAAAAAGAGACTTGTGAGACCGGGCAAACTGCCAATAAATCAGGGCAAGAATGCCAGTCTCCATCTGCCAATGACGCCTTATTACACAGAGATTTCCAAGCCATCAACGGCCTGATAGAAGATTGGACAAACGAAGGCGAACTGGTGGCATCGCAGAAGTCACCTCCTGGTCCCATCGGTCGCTTTCTGCTCAGTACAGGCGATCCTGAGGAACGCCCGAGCTCTTTCGGCCCTTGTACAACGCAGTCATACTTTGATATGGCACTTCCGGTAAATTCTGCAGTCTCGTTGTACATAAGCATTCACGATTAACAATATTCAGGTTTCCTTGCCACCTCGTCTCCAGCCCCAAATTCCAGCACCTGGCATTCTGTTAGCCGAGAAATCCCACACCTTCCATCAGCTTTTACTGGTTCTAAACTACTTATTCATTACTGCAATGCTCCCTGGAAATGAAGGCTCCTTGTGGGCCATAATATACCGGAGTGACTATGACTGGGAGAAGAGTTTCGTCTTGCAGTACAATCAGTTGCAGTCCTGGCTCAGTGATATCCGCGACGCTTTATGCGAATCTCAGGGCTTGCATACTATGTCCTACGAAGACTTGGAAATGCAGATCCGATATATTATGTCCCTTCTTGGACAATTTTCATCGCAAGAGTCTAGCTTGGCTCAAACGTGCTTCGAACAACCTTGTTTTCCTTACAGACCATTTGGTGTGGGAGCCAGTATCGCTCTAATATGCTACGCTTTCATGGGTATTGACGCTCTGCACATACGGGGCTACGAGTCGAAGGAGATCTGGTTACGTGACGAGCTGTTCTGTTCTGCCATGCTGGAGCATCTGAGAATGTCACCAATATTCCCATCTGACCTCTCGATGGGACAGCTGCAGTCCATCCTCACAAGCCTTCAAAGGGCGTTCCAGAACGAAGAAGTCAGGGTTGCGGCGGTACTTCCCCAAAGAATTGATGTCAAAAACAGAGCAGAGGTGATAGACTATTACACGCATGCATTCTTATCGTTAGATCCGCTCCTTCTTTCCAGAATCTGTCTGGTTTGGGGATTAAGCCATTTGCTAACTGCACCATTCGTGATTTGGCCACCACCTCTGCAAATTTGTTCTACAGCAAAGATCTGATCCAAGATCTAGAAGAGGATATCAAAATGGTCCCTGAAATCATGCAATCAAAGCCCGATCGCATCGTGGTCACGGAAATGTTTCATGTCAAAGCGTGGCAGGAAATTCGTCGGGGTGGCGGCCGCGAAGAATTGTATATTAATGTCTTTTATGTTTCTGTCGGACCCACGGCACAGCGGATGACCTAGAAGGAGTTGATATACTGACTTGATGATCAGATACGAGAAAAAAAATCTAGTCTCTTCATTCGAATAGGAAGGACCTCTTCAAGCGGTAAAGTTATGGGAAAAGAATCATGCATGCCCTGCCGTGGTAAAAAGTACTGAAGTTACCGAACTCGGTTTGATGGCATAGCTAGCCCGATGGCTATTCTTAGTCCTATGCAGCGTAGACAGTACCCAAAAAGACTTCTCTGTGGCGAGACTGAGAACCTCTTTCCACAATCACAACGTTTCAAACTTTGGCCTCCCTGGGGGGGCTAAGAGGGGCCGAGATGTGTGTTTGTGTATCATTAGTTGCTGCACTGGTGAAATCAGGTCAAGTCTCAACGGCATAGTGCTAGGTGAATCATCACTGAATGATCCAAATTATGATCCATCACCATCCAATTTCAAAATCTGTTTTGGACAACTGCATAGCTGCATAGCTCGGGGTAAATGTTTTTGTCTCCCCATCACCTTGCAAATAAGTGCCTTGGTTTGATTTTTACACTACATCAGCCCCTATATGTACAAGCCTTTGGATTGCCAACTTGTCTTTCCAAGCTTCGCCGCATTGCTCTACGAAAAAATGGATCTCAATGGCAAACCATCGTACGGACACTCAAAGCTTGACTTCAATCGCTTCCGTAAAAAGCCCGTCGGTATGTGATATCTTATTCGGGTTATGGCAAACATAAAAGCTAATCCTGATCAAGACAAGCCTCAACCTCCGGTGCATCGCTCCTCAGAAGCTTTTGTGAACCGGCTTCCGTTTCTATATTCGAAAACCGAGGAAATTGTCTGGAAATAGGAACAGTCGAAGCTCTGTGGCCAGAGCATCAACACTACCTTGCAATCCTCCATCATGCCACAGGATCACCCTTCCAACAGACCTGACAGGGCAGGCAAATTTGTTTCCATGCAGAATGGAAGTTTTGTCGTGAAGCCTCCGGCCTACCTGACAAATCTGAAGCCGGAGAATTATCAGGTGGGATTTCTGCATACAGAAAACCTGACAGATATGAAGATCATTCTCCTTGGGCTACCCGAATGGAAAAGACCTTCCAAATTCCGGGAAAGCATGCTTCGTTTTGAGAATTTGCTGGCCGGGAAAAGTTTTCCACTCTTCTACAATTGGTCAACCGAGTACTGGATCTCAGATTCGGTCATTCTCGATCCACGGTCAATCGATGAAACTGAGATGATCAGTAGGGGAAAACGGACGGCAAGTAGTCAATATTTGAGGTACCTTTGCGCTGGCCTTCCGTCAACCACGATGGGACCTCTTTTCAACACGCTTGTGACCTCGGGGAATGCAGACCCAGCCTGCTTTGAGTATTCGATGGGGTTCATTTGGATTCATGCGTCGATAGATCCGAAGAACTTCGAGATAGAGCTTGACACCTCTATCGATCCGTCTTATGATCGCATTGATTACATGCTACAACAGATGAGAGAGAGATCGTGGTTGGTTCAGGCAGAGCTAGCGATCAAGCTCGAGAGGTCCAGCAGGGTGAAAGCCGCTATCTCGGTTCAGGTTTTGGGCGTTTCTCAAGTCCGCGTCACCTCTACTCATAAACCAATTACTCATCAGTAGGATGTGTTTTAGAGCCAGGTGTCATACCTTTCGCCTGGGCCATACTATTTGTGTCAATCTATCTTCTCAAATTCCATCATCTTCCAATCATTATGTCATTCACGTCCCGTTGCCGCCGTACCGGAAAGGCTTACTGAAGGGACGAATTGGTACAGTATATAGACTCGGCTACTCCGAGCAATGATTTACCGCCGTGTAATACTAACATCGACTGACTCGGTGGGTAGGTATACTCATAAAAGGTACATTTGAAAAGCCTTTGCTGTATTCGCAGAAGACAGATGTAGTGTGTACTATGTATAGAAAGCACAAGAGTGGTTCTAGTCCAAAATTCAACAGCTGCTAATCGTAAGGCAAGAGTGCACTCAGCGTGAGAGAGCCCATATGTCGAATGCTCGATAGATTTCTGCATAGACAATGTCCGCAGAGGCCCCCGAGCCAGTTGAATTTTATCCCCGCTGCGACCGCCGGGTCCGCACCGTCTTCTGCTCCGGTCCATCTGACGTATCAGTCATATCGCTCTTCATCCGCTCCTCTGCTTCCGCCTCGACAGCCTCCAGCCGGTGGAGAAGGTCTGCCAGGTCCTTGCGGAGATCCTCGATACACTTATTTTGGTCCGTCAATTTACATTCTAGGGATCTGGCCTTAGGTTAGCCCTTTGTTCATTGCTTGGAGGGAATGTAAAACTCACTTCACCCGCACGTCTAGTCTTGAAGTATCATCTGTTAGTAGACACTTTGATTTCACGATAAGGGGTGACTCGGACTAACTCTGCGAGGCATGTGAGAGTAAGTACGTTGCTATCTCTGGGCTGAGATAAGTGTCCGCCGTATTGAGGACTCGGTAGCGCCCCGTGATCGTGGGTATTGGGAGGATCGCCCGGTTGCGGAACAGCTTTGTCTTTCTTGTTCGAGGGGGTTGATGGGTCTTCCTCGGTGGTGTCTCCAGACAGAGATTGAGATGGGCTTCGGCTGTATTCAGACTCCGAGGATGACAAGGACAGTGCGCGCTGCAATCGACGTCGGAAGTCTGGCATCTGCCGGGTGCGTGGAATTTTTGGAATGGCTCCCATAGTCGCGTATCGAATCAAGCGGGGTGTTGCCGACAAATAGATCTGTTTGAAATTATGACGGGAGTGGCTCTTACATGCTTCGTGACGGGTGTGACACTATATGTTGTGTGAAAATAGATCCGGCGAGCAAATGCCCGCAGTGGAAGAGGCCATCCCCCTGAGCCCCGGCCAGCCATATCTGGTCTCACATAGTGAAAATTCAAAGCGGGGCGCAATAAGCGTTTGGCAACACTTCAACGGATTTTCGACGGGACAAACGTTGACTAACAAGCTACCTGCATGAACTGGACGTCCCAATCTGCGGCTTGTAGAAAGTTGGATTCGCGGTTGGAGTTGCAAGTCAGCGCCCAGCGATTGGTGCCGCTAAGCTGTCACTTTCAACGTGTCCTGCTAAAGAAGATTCATCTGCGTGCACATTGGGCTGAATGAGCTTGTAATATTCTAGCAGGGGTCAATCGAACTGATAATATAATTAAAGATTCGTTCATTCAGTGCCTATATCAGATAAATGTAGTGAGGAAGGGTAGATGCGTCCAAATTTGGGAGCATGCATCGAGGCAGCTACGATGGCAAAGTCTACAAACACAAGTTCGAGGGTATGGTCAGTCAATTTGCCAGAGCCAGCCCATTCTCGAACTTACCAGCCAAGTTGTAAGTCGTTTGACCTTTGTCAACAACGTTGAGGCATTTTATTTGTCAGGCCTAGACCAGGTGGGGCGTGCCACTCCACCCGCTCTCCACTCCAAACTCTTGAAATTTCTTATTTCAACGTTGATAAACCGCCTCAACACCCACGAAATTAGGGTCGCCCGGTGCGAATTAGAAGTCAAATCTCTGGACTCGGCAAAATGTACGCAAGTGGTCGCTGCCGAAACCCCTACTCCGAATAGCATAAAAGACGCTCTTTTCCTGCCGAAAAGAAAAGTAGGACTTTCCTCCTCACACTCCGGGCCTCGCAGCCTTGGGGTGTCTTTTGCAGGTAAGATCTGCGTTACCAAGTACTCTTCGCAGGACGGGCTCTGCGTGATCAAGTGTGCCTCGCGGGACGGGCTCCGCGTCATCAAGTTTGCCTCGCAGGAGACCGCTGCGATACCAAGTTCTCCGCAGGAGTCCGCTGCGTCACCAAGTTCTCCGCAGGAGAGTGCTGCGTCAACAAGTTCTCCCTCGCAGCAATGAGCCCTGCGATTGTAAGAGTGCGCTCCCTCACAGCCAATGAGCCCTGTGTTGTACAAATGCGCTCCCTCACAGCCAATGAGCCCTGTGTTGTATAAGTGTGCTCCCTCACAGCCAATGAGCCCTGTGTTGTACAAATGTGCTCCGCGGGGACCTCCGCGACATCAAGAGCCTCCGCAGGGGGACGCTGCGAAACCAAGGGAGACCCGCAGGAGACCGCTGCGATACCAAGTTCTCCGCTGGAGAGTGCTGCGTCAAAAAGTTCTCCCTCACAGCCCATGAGCCCTGTGATTGTAAAAACGTGCTCCCTCACAGCCCATGAGCCCTATGATTGTAAAAACGCGCTCCCTCACAGCCCATGAGCCCTGTGACTGTAAAAACGTGCTCCCTCGCAGCAATGAGCCCTGCGTTGTAAACATGTGCTCCGCAGGGACGCCTGCGTTACCAAGAACCTCCGCAGGAGACCGCTGCGACACCAAGTTCTCCCTCACAGCCCTGAGCCCTGTGATTGTATAATCTTGAGCTTCCATGCAGCCTTGAGCCCTGCGTTATCAAATTTGCGCTCATTAGGCGACCCGTGGCGCCGCGGTCCTCGTCCTAATCCCCTCTGGCGATTGCAGGCACCTCTTCGTGGTGTCAGAGACTAGTATTCGGGTCCGTCTGAGGGACGCGAAGAAGCCAAGACCTGCTCCAAAGAATCGATAGAATCAAGAATCTAACTATACATGTTGTAAAATGACTTCAGTACTAAATGACTTCAGTACTGTATGTAGATGTCACCGTACATGGCCCTGGTTCGAGAACTGCACTTTGTAGCGCTCAAAGACGATCTGAGCTTCGAAAATGAACATTCTCCTCCACGTAGTGTGAATTAGAGCGTTGAGTCATGGCTGATAGCGGGGTGGCCAATCTGGGTGGCGGCTGAAATCCAAAGTGATCCATTGGTGTGGATGCTTGT